ACCTCAAATGCATCATTCTTTCTCAATACAATGCCGTACCTTTGCAGTAATGTAAATACTCTGCTGTCACATGCGACTTGAAATCGAAAATAAAAATACTGATAATGAAATTTATTCATACCTTGGGAAACTCTCGGTACTTGTGTCTGAGAGACGGTATTATTATAATTTCAATGGCACTCACAATTCTTTGCAAAACTCACCCATTTTCAGAAAGAATTATCAAAGTAATTGAATTCGCAAAATGTTTACTAAACCTTCGGGGGGGGGGGCAAATAACAAAATTCAACTAAAATTTCCAAAGGGACCTTCTTTCAAAAATTACATTGCAGTATTCATGGTATTGCCACCAAATTACTTCAACGTGTTCAAATGGGACACTGGTCTATTCCATTTGCTTTCATTTGCTAATGTTAGCGTGTATATCTCAGTCGCAAGACTGGAACAGGAAAGATGCGTGACCATGATGTTAACGAACATTATCAAGGGTACCAATGACATTTAAGAAACTCTTATTTACAAACCTGTGTCATGTCCAGGAAATGCCAAAACGGTCAACTCCAAATATTAATCGTTTATGACATGCAGTGAATTAGTCTGGAACTCATACGGGTTAAGTAGAATTGAATGAATCAAGACATTTTTACATGTTCAGAATAAGACATGGTGAGCAAGTGTGTGCCAGAACTGACATTCCATTTTCAACCTAACTTATTTAATCAATTCTTAACATGTAATTTGTGTTAATTTTACCAGGATCGGTCGCATTAGTTCTCATGGGGTCATGCGTTACATGAACAACAATTAAACTTTTTTAATCAAAAAATATTTAAAAAAAATGTAAAAAAACGAGTACTGCAATACAATATTTTCTCATAAAAAAATTAAACAGTAGGCCCTATATGTAAAATTGTCCACCAAGATTAAGCCTTTATAGTAAAATAGACAATTACAAAGAATTCACTTTCCAAATTTCCGAACATCGCGTATGAGTAACATATTTAAATGTTTTGCTTTGGTTAAAGTTTGCGGAGAGTTGTACTACATTTGGTTATTCGAAGAAAAAAAATATACCAAACAAATAATCCTTGAAAAACTGCGCTGGCACGTGATGGGCACTTTTAACGACTGTCAAGGTTGATGAATTTTATCACTGACAGTATAGCTTTCCAAACCTAGCACATCCGGATTTGCATGCCTTTAACAGAGTTATTACCATTGTATTGATTCTAGCGATAATGTCTCTTTGTTTTAATCCGCTTTCTTAAAAAGGATGGTCTACGGTTTCAACCAAAAGGACTTACTATTTGACAAATCGTCGTGTTTAGTGGCGTATCAAGCGGGGGGGGGGGGGGGGGGGGGGGAAGGGGCAAGTTGTGTCTCTGCCAGAATTAGAGTTTCTCGAATTTATTGTGAAGTTCTGTTTTGTAAGATTTTAGCATCACAATTTTCAAAGCCCCCGTGTGTAACAAAATAAATGTTCGGGTCACTGTATTGTAAGGTTATTTATGTCTTCAGGTTGTGCAGGAGTGGGACGGTCCATGGTGTTGTTGACCTGATTTCTGTGCGTCACATTTTGAGTATCATTCATCCCATGCCTAGCCTGCGCATACATGTATAGCCTAGGTCTAATTTATTTTTGCTCACTGCTCTGCAACTCAATTTTACGTAACAGTTAAGACACATTGACAATGACGTCATGAAAATTCAGTGGCAGGTGTGTTGCTTTTGTGCTGTCATAGGAGCGTGGTGAATAATCAAAAGACACAAGTTTTTATACATTTACAGGCTGGCATGGCATTTTTTTACTTCCACGAGAACAGATATTTAAGCTTTTTTTCGGGAAGGGTCAATTTAAGAGAATCATTGAATAAAGTCAAAAAAGAGCCTTTTTTTGTGGTACGATCATTGTGTATTAATTATAATTTCCCACAATCTAATCGTTGAATTGTGGAACGCGAGAATATCTGTGCTTTCCCTCCTTTTAAGGCTTTGTTTTCAGTGCATCCGTAATGTGGTACACTGATCATGTCACACTCGGCAGCCGTAAATGGTTGGCTTTCAGTCTCGGAAATTATACGGAGACGCGTAAACGGCACGCAATAAGAACGCGGTCATTTTAGATTGAGCCATTACCGAGATAAACACGATTCTGGCCTTGTTTGTTCCCGTATTTGTCTGGTGTGTTTTCCCAACAAAAATACTGGGTTTAACTTTCTTCTTCCTGGATTTGCAATGATTCTTTCAAACAGTTATTATATTGTGCTTTGAACCTGTAAAGGATGACACATCAAGGATGTAGTAATTACAATGTGGTTTTTCCGATACTTTCTCTTGAGTGACGTTTTCAATATTATTATAGGTAATAGGTTTTCAATTAGAATGCATTTACTTACTTACTTAATGCCTTGATGATGCCTAGTGGCACATAGGCCATCAACAAAGCTCTTCATCTTGGTCTTTTCTTTGCCAGCTTTTCCAGTTCCTTCCAGCTGTATCCAAGGGCGGATCCAGAACACAATTTTTTTGGGGGGGGCCAAAAAAATTTTTGGTCCCCCAAAAAGTGGGTAAAAAAAATTACGGCGTGGGGTTCGGGGCCCGCTTAAGGGCCCCGAAAATTGTTTGGATTCTAGATGCTCTGTGGTGCGATCTGAGGCAATTTCTGACCACTTTAACCAATGTTTTTTTGAGGAAAAGATGGTGGTGTACTCATTGCCTGCCTTTATTGCGATGTCACATAAAAAAAAAAAAAATTGGTTTCGTTTTTTGGGGGGGGGGGGGGGGGCCATGGCCCCCTTTGGCCCCCCCCCCCCCTGGATCCGCCCTTGGCTGTATCCCATCTGTCTCGCATCAGCCATTGTGTCTCGCTGCCAGGCGTTCTTTGGTCTTCCTCTATTTCTTTTCCCTTGTGGATTCCAAGTCAAGGCTAGTCTGGTGATGCTTGAGATCGGCTTCCTTAGAGTGTGGCTGATCCACCTCCATTTGCGCTTCAGGATTTCCTCCTCAATTGGGGTTTGTTGAGCTCTCCTCCACAGTTCCTGGTTTGAAACATGTTGCTGCCAGTATATGCGGAGGATTCTTCGCAGACACTTGTTTACAAATGTTTGGATCTTCTTCATTATGTTTTTTTTTGTGGTTCGCCATGTCTCTGAGCCAAAGAGTAAGACTGACTTGACGTTTGAGTTGAAGATTCGGATCTTGGTGTGGGTAGAGTACTTCGTCGAGCTCCAAACCTTAGACAGCATTAGGAATGTTGTTCGCGCCTTACCGATTCTTGCCCTGACGTCATTATCTGTGCCACCCTGCTTGTCGATGATGCTGCCCAGGTAGACGAAGGAGTTCACTTCCTCCAAAGCTTTACCGCCAAGAGTGATTCCTGTGTTCCCAGCAGCATTCACTGTCAGTAGTTTGGTCTTGCCGCCGTAAATCCCCATCGCAATTGGTGCTGATTCTTCTTCTAGGGTGTTGGACTTGTTCTGCATCTGTCTTTGTCTGTGAGAAAGGAGGGCGAGGTCGTCTGCAAAGTCGAGGTCGTCTAGCTGTACCCAGGGTGTCCATTGTATCCCATTTCTTCTTCCTTCCGTGGTACGTTTCATGATCCAGTTGATCACGATTAGAAAAAGAAATGCATGGGGAAAGAAGGCAGCCTTGGCGAACTCCCGTCTTCACTTCGAAACCCTCGGTAAGCTGACCGTTGTGTATATCTCTGCACGACATTCCCTCATAGGTGTTTTTGATGAGGTTGATGAACTTCGGTGGTATGCCATAATGGTCAAGGAGCCTCCATAGCACGTCTCGGTCAACACTGGCAAAGGCTTTCTCGTAGTCGATAAAGTTGATGAACAAAGAAGAGTTCCATTCTATGGACTGTTCCACGATGATGCAAAGAGTAGCGATCTGGTCAGTACATGAACGATCTCTTCGGAAGCCTGCCTGTTAGTCTCGGAGAATGCATTTAGTCAGGGCTCAAACATCTTGAAGTTACCTTTCAAGTGATAATCCAGTGCGTGCTTCTTTTTGCATCCGTTGAGAAAATATTCTTTCGCCTTTGAAACATATATAATTTTTGAAAAGAAATTTACCCTGCAATTTAACAACGAAATTTAGATTTTAATTATGAATTATTTACTATCATAACCTAACCAATACCAATATTATCAACGATGAGTGAGCAATTACAGAATCAAGTTCAATTGAATGTTATTAAAGACACTTTTTAGATTAACGCTTGGCGAGTATCGAAAACAACCTCCCTTTATCCAAGGTTAAGTTATTGAGTAAAAAAACCCAAACAATAAGGTTTACTTCAAAATGTCTGTTCCCTCATTATGATACATTTTGAAGTACCTCGTAAGCAGCTAGATTCCTTGGATTGAAGTCATCCTAACGCAACGATTATATAAATCCACACTGATGTAAAACGTAACATTTTCTCGCTTTAACTCAATCGCAGACAAGTATTCCCGATCACATAGCGGCCAATTAGCAAGTTTAGAGAGATGTGCTTTGTTGTGGTCAACCGTTATACATTGACACTTGAAGGGCAGTTGTAGGCTCAGAGCAACAGTTAATACAACAATTGAGCCAAACGAAGCAAATGTATCATGTTGGTAAAAAAAACCCATGGCCTTTTTAAGCAGTAGCGGATCTAGTGCCCCCCCCCCACACACACAATCAGCCGCTGACTAATGTTATGATAGTAAAATGGGGTCGAAAATAATAAATGGAATGCTAAAGTTCCAAAATTTATTCTTGAATTGTCTTAGAATGCAGGGAAGGCATCGTAGATTTCAAAATCTCCCAGAGCATACTTCCGGACCCCTCTGCAGGGCGTGCCTTCGGCATGCCTTAGACTCGCCCCCCTCCCGTTGAAAGCTAGATCCGCCCCTGTAAAGCCCGAAACAGTACGACTTGTCCTCACTGTCCCTTGAGGAATTACCTTAATACCGACGATACCTGCACTTTAGTCGTTTATATTTCTTGTTTATTTAAAACTGCAGTTATTGGAAGTGGCAAGGATGAACAACGAACTAAATGACGAGTGAGAGCTTAACCTTGAGACCAACAGCCAGCCTGCCGTCAAGACAACTCAACTTCATGTCAGAACCAAATAATGAAAAATCTGTCTCTTTCTAACCAAAAATAAACCTACTGAGGATAATGACCTATGCATTGCGCAGCGACAAGAAATGACGTTCAAGTTAAGAGTGCAGAGTTCAATATGCGATATTCAGTGACAGCGGTACCGATCAAAATGTTATGGTCAGCTTCAAAACTTGCCAGAGGATGGAATCTATACCGCTAGTCAAGCAGTGTGTTGAATTTTGCATTCTTGATCACAGTGATTCAGACGCATTGGACTCAATGCAAATGACTGACGTCGTCAACTCTTCTTTTGCTTTCACTTTGCACGCATTATTATATTGGGTTTTGTCCTTTGTCTTTTCTTTCCGTGAGGTATACAGCCTAGCACATGTACATCAGCTTCTTCTTCGTTTTTTTCAAGTATAGAATGATAGTCCTATGATGACAGTGACTAAATGGAGCTTAGATAAATATTACACGACTAAAATATTGAAATCTCTCGACGGATCACTTTTCATTTTTAATTTTACAATAGGTTGCGTGTACTTTGAGACAAAATGCATTATGTTCGATTTCAATTTCTTGTTTTCGAAAGTTTTCAAACGTAACTAAAGAGACATACTTGTATGACTTATTTGAAATAAAGCTGTCTAATTATTGTTAAATATCCTGTGCTAATTTAGAGCTTCTCTGTTTCCCAAAATATGTTGCAAACAAAAGGAAAATAGTAATAATAATATTTTAGAAGAATTTGTTATTTAGCTTGGGCCAGTCCTTCTTTTACTAAACAATGCAACAAAGTGTTTGTCAAAGTTGATATTAGAAAATGAATGTATGATAAACTGTGAGATTCAGTTAAGCACCTCAACGAACATACCAATGTTTGAATTTGTAATTAACTTGTCACTCTTAAATTTGCAAGATGTTCCGAATTATTTGGAAGTCAAAATGATTCAAAGGGAAACAGACGTTAGTGATTCTACATGTACTTATAGACTACACAAATGACAAAAAAGTCCATGCATCGTACTAATGAAAGAAAAAACTACATTTGAACGGTTTCGTTATGTTCCATGTTAGTTAAAAACTATAACAAAAATTGAATATAGAGTAGTTGTACATATTCAATTTTAATTGAACTTTATTTTGTACGTTGTTGGATATCGCTTGAGTGAACTAATGATCGACCAATAAAACCGGTACGAACAAGGGGGTTATAATGTATACGGTTCAACTACAACAGTTGCCACATGACTGTGAGCACACGCTTTCAATGAACAATTCTCTGATAAGAAGTCTATATAGAAATCACTTTATCTCATTGTCTATCGGTTGACTCTCAAGAAAACCCCTTTTTGGAACCTAAATAAGTTTTGATAGATTGACATCTTCCGAGGAAGCCATGAAATCAGTTAAGAACTTTCACAGTCTGTCCATTATTATCAGGTTAAGAAGCACTGTCTTATTCAAGCCAACTAAGGCCATGTAGGCGTTTTGTAGTCTGTTTGATGCAAACATGATGTTGGAAAATTACATGACCTTGCAAGCCTCACTTCAATTCTATAGAAAACGATTTGTGTCATTATTTTAGGGAAATTGAAAATTGTATTTTCCATCTGATGTTCCACGTGTGATTCTTACTCGTTAAATTTACAAGTACATTGAGTGTACGTGTTTGGGAATAGCTGGTTAGTGTTGCTCTTTAAATCATTCAGCTCCTCTCTGTGATATTCCCCCCACTATCAGAGATACATTACGTGTACTCGATCATAACAAAATAATATGTAATGTTACAGCAATATTCCTTACTAGCGAACATTTAAAAAGACTCCTATCGGATTCTGTATGCCTGAGAAAATTTTTGTTTCTATCATTGTAAAACTCAATATGCAAAAGTTGGAAAAGCGTATTGTAAAAAAAGGGGTCAGATGTGAAAAGTAAGGTTTAGTGTAGTCAATGTTAGTTTCATTTTAACATATTTTCCGAGAATAAATTTTGGTTTAGCTGCATTATATTGGCGTCACTGTCGTGTCTTTTGCCTCGATCTGTTCGTGATTTTGTAATTTAATATTACGGAGTCAATTATAAATTCAACTATCTATCCTGTTGACGTTGTTCATTATTCTGTCACGTTGCGGAGTAAACTTATTGCATGACTTGGTATACGTTATAACTTGGACAAAAGACTATATTCGAAACGAAGAAAAAAAAATTGGAGGGCGTACAAGCAAAAACAACTAAACTGAATCACCTCTAAAATTTGTCGAAACCAGTATACGCAGCGGCAACATTTCATCGACAACCACACTTACAATAATTACTGATGGGATGGAATTTGCGTCGGAGAGAAGTAAATTTTAAGTTGGGTTTGGCCCTTCACCGACGTATTTTTGTAATGAAGCGGTTTGTAATATAGAAACGTACAGTAACCACAGTACCGGACAAGATTTAAAAAAAAAAAGTTACCACAATATGTACCTAACACCAAAGCAGTGGCGTTAATGTGTACTGGCGAGTGGGGGGGGGGGGGATGGGGGATGACCAAAATCCAAAAATGTCCGACCATGGAAATTTCAAAAGGGGGGGGGGGGGGGCTGGACATCACATTACACTAGGTGGCGCTCTTCGGAGATAGATGTATAGCAATATGTATACTCGTGCTTACATCAAAACGGCGCATTTTAAAAGGTTTTGTACTTTGTTTCTACACTTTTCAGTGCTTTTGAATACATTTTGGTTGTTGGGATGTTCGAAACTAAAAATACCTCGAAATCCACATTTTTCTCTCATCACAAAGAATGTGTGTGTGTGTGTGTGGGGGGGGGGGATGATTCAATAGCCCATCCCCTTGTAAAAAAGTGTGTGTGGAGGGGGGGGGAGGAATATATACCCCCATCCTCCCGGGATTTACGCTCCTGCACCCAAGCAATGCACAACACCCACTGTATCACCAACAGTGTGCATCTTAATTTCTCAAAGGAATCACAACTAGCAGCAGTAAAAAAAAAGCTGAAGTTTAATCGGCAGCCACCATCTTGCGTCACTTTTGCTGCTCAAATTTGCCAAGAATGCTTCGCTAACAATATTTATGGAGTTTCTCACTGAAACGTTATTGCCAGCGAGCACGATTTTCATCAATTCCATGATTTCGTTCCCGATCAAAAGATTCACAGAAGACTACCTTGTCCTGGATCGGGCGGTTGGGGGCTGATCAAGACATGGAATCGTTTATTTGATACTTGACATGCCTTTGGATTGACCACGGCGTAGCCGCGTCCTTCGCAATTCAGCTTCTCAGTTTTTTTTTGGAGGGGGGAGGGGGAGACCTTCGAAAAGGGGTTAGAATCAGAAAGACATTTCCCTGCACTACAGGCAAATTACATGACAGGAAGACCCATTCCTTCATTATGCTTTTCGATGACGCTACACTACAAAATCAGATTTTAAAAATTGCAAAAAGCGTTTAAATGTAGCCTTTTTAACTGTATTTTGTAAAATGGCCTTGTACAAGTCCAGGTTGTTTTTCTCATGTTTTCTGCTTTACTAATTTGAAACATTGTAACATGAAACAGGTACCTTGGCGCTGCCAGCACTAATACAATAGCGTATGCAACGTGCACACGATCACCTGAGCTTGAAATTAATGTGGAAAAACTTCAACAGGCTAGGAGGCCATCAGAAAGTCTTGATAACTGCCCCCCCCCCATGTCACAATGGCCACATCGTCCCGATCGACATCCATCCATCCGCCCTGGCCATTATCGCATTTTATCGCCTGAAATCACCCGGTAACTTGTTTGAGGATGCAAACATGTATCGTTTGGTCCCTCGGGAACTTCCGCCCCTTAAAATCTCCTTCCCTTTCCGTTTCACTTGGTTCCAGCAGGTAATGAATGGTCTGTGCCGGAACGAACTACTCGGTTTTTTATTCAGACAAGTTGAATTAATCCGCAGTTTGACACGTGTCCAACTGTTGATTGAAATGGTAACCTTAAGGCCATTTTAACTATCGTCTCCCCTACCCGTGTTGATTTCAACCGGAACTGGGTCTCATCGAACACGGGTAGGCGGGGCAAACTAGTCACACTCACGGGTCGGCTGTACATTTTTACGAGGGTTAGATTTTACCCGTGTAGAGCGCTAGACCCGTGTGGAAGCCGTGTTGAATTCTTGCTTGTGTGCAAGGGGCTCCCCAAATCTCCGTGTCGGACCCGGGTCCGTCATTGAGATTGTAGACAGTACGAACGGCCCTTAAACACTGTAGTTTACGAAGGCAGATCAAACATGAGCGTGGAAACAGAGTAAACAAAATGGGTAGGTCTATGTAAAGCCAAGTTTCTGAAAGAGAGGGTTAAAATAATTTTATTTGGAAAACGAAAGCCAGGGGGCAAGAAATATATTACCATTCTTTAATTTGCAAAAGGAAGCATCCGGCATTATGTCTTCAATCCTGCCGCACAAAAACTGTGGTAGGATTTTTGATTGTATCACTCATTAAGATGAAAGTCCTCGAGTTAATGTTCTACTTACATTCTAAGTTAATGTTTTTCTAATCGTTCATTAAATTATAAAGTGATCATTTTAAATGAAAAATAAAACAAGATTGTTCACACTTCCTTCATTAAATCTACTAATCGATGTGTCTCTGATGAATATTCACACATAGATCGTTTGCACCTCAGCCATTTTGAGGTGAGTAATTTTGTTCAAGAAGGATACGCATGAGTAGACATCTGGTGCATTTATTGTTAATGAATTAACAAAACAAAATACACCTGCTGGACATTGAGACTGAGCGGTTGCACTTTTAAAATCGCGCCGGCGCTGGCCTGCCCTCATATACGCAGGCGTAACGCAGAGATAATTTACATGCTGTGCAGTGTTTATGAAAACAATTTTTATGCAACGCAATATACAAGGTGTATAAAAAAAGTAATCCAAAAAAATGGGCTCATATGTAAAGGTTAGCAAATTTGACAATGTTAATGTGGTTCCATCTTAAAGGGTAGTTCATTAGCTTTAAATGGATACCTTAATTGCAGCTGTTTAGTCACAGATGACTGAGCATCAATGATTGCAAAACAAAGTCCAAAAAAACTCTTTTCCAAGTTTGCTGAATAAGTGGTGAGTAAGCTGTCGGAGGAATGTGCTGTCGCAGCTGTGGACAGTGCGTCAAGAGGGGTACGTTAGAGGTGTAGGTGCATAAAATAGTGCATAGTAATGTTGTCCATGAATGATTGATCATTTCAGAGATTTTGTTTATCATCACAAACTGGCAATGACATTTCAAAAATCTTTAAAACATAGCTTGCAATGAGCATATAGCCAAAGCCATGCCAAGTTAAGCACGACCAAGCTAAGTAATGAGATCATTTATGCATTAGGTATTACTTTAATGAGTTAACAGAACAAAAATCTTTGGAATGAGTGATTTAATCATGGAGCATGATACTCCATTTATGCTTAAACACTTTCAACATGTCTTTCTCCTCGCCATTCAACAAATATTCCACTGCGACTGCGCACTTTTCTGAACAGTTCAATTCACTGAATCAGGTAATCTTGGAAAAAAGTAGGTGTTGCTGATGATAGACAAAATCTCTGCAATGATCAATCATTCATGGACAACATTGTTATGTACCATTTTATGCACCAACATCTCCAACATACCCTTTTAACGCACTGTCTACAGCGACAGCGCATTCATCCGACATGCAGCTTAACTCGCCACTTATTCAGCCAACTTGGCAACGGAAGTTCTTACGCCTGTGTTTTGAAATCAATGGCGCTCAGTCATCCATGACTGAAGAGATGCAATGAGATATCAATGAAAACCTAATGATCTACACTTTAAGATGAAGCCGCTGTGACAGTGTTCAAGTTAATAACCTTTGCATATTAACCCATTATTTTAAGATTACCTTTTTATACACCCTGCATATGAAATAAACGAGTATTTTACAACCTGGACACGTGACCGTTCTAGACCAATGAAATTACAGTATCAAAGACACGATTTAAAAAACATGTTGATGTGGAAGTTCTTGTTCAATATGGTTTTTCAAGTCAAAATGTGATGAGAGTCGGAAGCATGGCGAGTGGGAGAATGACTGTGGAGACGGATGGGGAGATCGGGACGCCGGCCAAACAGCTTTATTAGAATATCTTGACGACATCTGACGACTTTGCAGCGGTTTACAGCCAAGGATCGGCAGCAATTAGAAGGCACTCGTCAACTGTCATATTACACGCCCCAATTCAGGCGTCTTTCCACAGTCAAACCGACCGTGTGCTTTTCAGCGGACGACCGTCACCCTGACGTTTTCAGCGAGTATAAAGACCCTCCATATGGAGCTGATGCTTCTCACTAGTGCTACCCTTGGGTTCAACTAGGTACCTCGATAATCAAGGGGCGTTCCTTATGAGACAAGCTCTTCGATTGCTGATTGGGTAACTACGCGATGACTAATAAATACTATTTCACATCATATAAATGAAAACAACAAACAACAACAAAACCTCTGTCATTGGTCCGTTGCCAGACCGTGGATTAGGAAAGGGTTTTTAAAATGTTGCCACGCTAGTTACCTGAAGTAATTCACGTGAAAAGGTCGAGCCAAGATAATCTTTTAACTGTGATAGACTGCTGTGTCTATTATGTCTAGACGCAGTAAGTGCGAGGGAAGAAATCGTTTATGAAGTAAAGAAAGTTTGGTCCAAGTATATAGATGCATTCGAGGTTTTTTGTTTCGGTTTTTGCTTTGGGTTTTGTTTCGGATTTTGCTTCGGTTTTGGTTCTGGTTCTGGTCAGTTTCTGGACGATTTGTGTCGGTTTTTTTCAAGAGTTTGTCGGGTCGGATGAGTTTGGATGATTCAATCTCTATGGTGGCCTTGAAGGGACATATCCGGTCGTGAATATGTTTGCTACGTTGTGAACATTTTTCAAGACTCGTCATGAAACAAATTCACGGCGTCGCAAAAATATTCACGACCGGTTATGTCCCTTCATGGC